AATGAAAAGTTAGTCATTTACACCACTCCATTTAATTCTATTCTTGTTACTATTACTATTATTACGAGGAAAAGTGAACGGTTTTATTTAGTTTTCCTAAATTAGTTTTATGAAGTGTGTTTGAATGTGTGTGTGTGTGCGTGTGTTTGTGTGTGTGACGGTGTATATTTGAGTAAAAAGTCATTAAACCAAAAAAAAAAAACAGAGTAAAATAAAACACACATATTTTGTAAATATACATTTTTGACTGACAATGAAAGTTAATCTAAAGTGTTTCCCATTGTCTATTATACATTAGCAAAAGTATTTGTTTAGATTGACAGTTTATTATGTGGTTTGTGAATTGTCAATACAAAAGATATTGTCAGTATAGGGGTTATAGAGATTATTGATTTTTTGGCTGAGACCATGAACCGATTGATGATAGACCACCATTGAAAATTTGGAAGCACTGGACGGCTGTTTCATCCTATTGTGGGACTCTTCAACAGTGTGCATCAACTATCCCACTCGCAGGATTCCAATCCAGGACATTCAGTCTCGCACATGAACGCTTAACCTACTGGTTTAACATCAATCGGTTCATGATCTCAATCAAAAAGTTGATAATCTTCACAACCCCTATACTGACAATTACCATGTACTCACTAGTGACTAGCTTCGTAAGGGAATTCTCGGAGTTCTAATGAGAAGCCGTGATCAGTGGAGCCAATCCATGTTGGGTAGAAACAGGTATCTACCTCAGTACAATGGAAGTTGGTCGCGCAATTTCGTGGATTGGTTGATGTTAGACACTATCACCATTGGATGCCGGCTCAGTGGTCCAGTAGGTTAAGCGTTCTAGCGCGAGGTCGAAAGTCCTGGGTTCGAATCCTGCGAGTGATATCGTTGATGTGCACTGCTGAGGAGTTCCACAATAGGATGAAACTGCCGTCCAGTGCTTCCAGGTTTTCAATGATGGTCTAACATCATTCGGTTCATGATCTCAATCAAAGGATATTGTGTTAAAATTAACTATCTTTAACCTTCAAACTATAGTTCAATTTAGAGTGTAGAATTTTTACAGTTTCACTCATGAATGGGACAATATGAGACGGCACAGGTAAAGGAAGATGGTCACAAAATAAGGTGAGCTGATTGGATTTGTATATCATTTAGTGCAAGCTTGGTGGTTTGGAGGTTAATCGTTCACGAGACACCAAAATACCTGAACTTCAATTCCATGTGAGGGATCGTGCATCCACACTGATGAGTAGTCCTATACTATGATGGAACAGTCGTCCAGTGCTTACAGGTTTCAATACTGGTGTAACATTGATCGGTTCAGGATTTTAATGAAATTTAGCAATCTCCACATCTCCAAACTGAAAACAGATGAGTGGTGTCTAGCGATATAGCTTAAGACATGCGTCTTGTCGTACTTGAGACTCATCAGCTGGATGTGCTTGGATCCGAATCAGTGTTCACCCCAGGACTCAAACCCAATACCATTCACATCAAATGACATCACGTTATCCATTTAGCTACTGAGTCCAGATAACTGTTGGTCTGTTCAGTTGGCTGAGTTTTAATTTTTAGATGTTTGTTGTTTAAATCTTCCCATTGATGTTTGAGACAATAACTGATTAGTTTCTATTGGCACGTGCACAACTCTAGAATCCAGGCACATCCAGTTGACGAGTTTCAAAGTGTACATATACCAAAAGAGACTAATCAATTACAATTCTAATCATCAATCAGAACATTCAACCAAACATTACTTATCAAGTAAAAATGAGTTATGTTTACAAGTTTCCTAAATGTTAATAGAGATTAGGAATCTAAACCAAGACAACCATCTCGTCCCATATAGTTTGTCATTTAAATGTACTCGAAGATAACGAAAACAAAAACTGACGAAGAATAATATGAATTCATTTCATTTTGTCAGGTTCTCATTAGCTGAATACAAACTGTAATATTCTCAAATATAAGCAATGACAGATATTGACATATACTTTATTTATTTATTTTAACACATAGCTATTGGTATAAGGAAGCACCAAATGGATATGCGCAACACAAATCTCACTTGATATGTGTGTGAGGGCTGTGATACTGCCCGGGTGCCCAAATCGAAGCAGGTGGTTTTCTTAGGGGGCCACATCCGGAGCCTTCGACAAAAAGGTCTGATCCACAAGGCAGTGGAGCATTGTAGGAAGATGCAGTCCCATGGTAGCCGGTGACCAACGATTAGTTCATACTCCATTTGTTCCCTCAGGATACTGGAGCCCATATGCACCATTGGTTTGGAATCACGGTATTCCAACTTCCCTAGGTGAACTATCCATATCCACCAACACGGTTAAAGCACCGGACATTCGATTTTCGTCCTCTCGATTTCGTAAACAACAGTAGTGCCACGAGAAGACAGTGAGTAGGACTTCGCTGGCAGAGGATATATACGCGTGGCCATGTGAGAGCATTTCGAGAGGGAGAGCGGACTCTCTTCACTCTCGGCCATACCAGGGCATTTGGGGGCGACATACTTATATATACGAAGTAGAAGTTATTCTAGGAGAGATAATTAATCAGTGAAATTAAAATATAAGATAATTTTCAAACGCACGATATAAGATATAGAGCAGATGAATCTGTCCACCAGCCATCGACTATGAGCCATGCTACACAATGTTTTCAACTATCGGTTATGATAATGGTACAAGTCTCAACCAAGTTGTTTGGACTTAATGAGATGCCTTAGATCGACAGTCAGTGGTTACATAAACTGACGACACGTTTTAGTTTGAGCACTTGTAACTTTCTCCTGATCTACTTCCACAAGAGCTAACATTGACTGTAGAGGTAAACAGTAGTTGGGCACACGTAGTACTTGTCCCAACCACTTTTTTTCTATCAAGAATTGATATGACTGAAAAAAAACGGAAAATACCGATCAGATAGTTATTTCATCTCAATATAAGACTCATTAGCTAACTTTTTCTAATCTAGTGGAGTTTAAACTACCCACATCTCTCTCAGAAAACCATTGAAATCAAAGTAGTATTGAAGAGCCAGTTGTTTTGTTCTAGTATAAAAGTATTCGACAGTATGGATCAAAAAACTCACCAATAATCGAATTCGATAGCCTTAGACCTTGTGGAAAGCATTTAAACTTCAAACAAATGAATCGGCATCCACTAGTTAATATTTCAAACTCCCATTATTTTATTATATTCCACTACTAACCAAAGTAAGTCAGTAATGTAAAGTAGAAATTCAACAATCTTTACAACCTTCATATATTTACACCCATCTTTGTCTTACAAATCGGAAGTTTGTTTACTATGGACAAAACAAAGTGTTCCTGTAGCGAAAAACAGTACCTTGGACAAAGTGAACAACCCCTTCATCTTTGCCTGCATGAACATCAATTAGCGGTCAAACGCCATGAAATATCTTCGCTTATATTAATGCACATTGATAATCGTGGTAACACGTTCGATTGGAAAAATGTTGAAACTTATGGTAAAGGGAATACTAATTACACCAGAGAGTTTTTTTAGAAGCTTGGCATTCAGGTCAATAAGCAATCAACCAACACATTGAAATGGCTTCAATCTATCAACCAATCAGAAAAAATCATGGACAAATGTAAGACCAAGAATCAGATCAAAAGGAGATGAAATCAAAATAAGAGGTAGATAATGACAGGCGAAAGGTCAACAATAATCAATCAAGATCGAGGTCGAAAAGACAAGATGTGAGTCATATATGAAGACATTTGAACACTTCTACCTGAACTTTGTGATGATGATATTGTTCAGAAGAACGATGAAAGTCTCACGACATAAACCATCCAGCTCAGAGAATAAAACTCCATCAAAATCATCCACCTGAGTTACAAATCTTCTCCAACATTTCAAAATCCTATTAGTTATTTAATAAAATAGCAAAATAAACTTGAGCATTCACATCGAGGTCCATTTATATCTAATTGACTAGTCCCAAATAAGGCATAATCCCACTAATAATTGCAATTTAAACACACCGAGAATTAAAAGGAAATTAAATTATAAAAACAAAACTCTACTAACTACAGCAGACAATCACTCTTCTATACCTTAATGTAAATTTATCGACAGTCTGAACGAAACGACGACAAAAAAATAGGTGCATTAAAGAGGAAGAAGAATGTATATGAATATGAAGTAAATTCAACGTTTCGCCTAATAATCTAGTCCAAGCTTTTTTCAAGGAAATATAGAATCAAACATTAAAATTATCAATAGTTTTGATTGCCAGACGGAACGTTAGATTTCATTCAAATTCATTCATTGATGTAAGAGTAGGTTGAGGCGACTAAACCAAAACATGGAACAAATCTATGAAGTTACTAACAAGTGAACTGAGACATGTTTGTAAGTGTAGACTACCTGGTTGGGATCCCCGAGATTATAGTAACTGATGGTTAGAGACCCTAAATGACATGGCTGAAAATCGTTTGCAATGGCGCAGGTGCATCCACTCTTTGTGTTCTCCCAAATTCTAATCTCCTGACTTCCCCATGTTCCTTTTCTTTTTCTCTTTTCAAATTTATCTCACTGGATTATACTCCTTGAATAACGTCTTCAAACTCGAATGTTTCCGATTACTGATTATATTTTTATTACTTCTACCACTATGGAATTTGAATAGATAATTGTTTCTGTGTGGTAATGTGGTATGGCAACTCGAAGTGATGTTCTTATGTACGAAGTTCTACGTTGTTGCTGACTGACTGCTGACTGACTGACAGACTTTAATGTCTCACATTAACTCGGTGCCCAAATACAGTATAACCAATCTATCAAATTTAGACGAAAGTACTTCTTATTATGTACTCTTATCATAGAGTATATCTATGAATTAAAAATTGTAACAGAATAATCAACATAACACTCAACCAACTTTCTAGTTATAATCTATTTTATGATTATAGTTATTATCCTAGAAATCATAAGCCTTCAATTCAGTCCCATATGAAGAAACAAAAAAGAATTAAAAATCAACATATGCTTAAATGTACTACTACTACTACTACTACTACTACTACTACTACCACTACTACTACTACTACTACTACTACTACCACTACTACTACTACTACTACTACTACTACTACTACTACTACTACTACTACTACTACTACTACTACCACTACTACTACTACTACTACTACTACTACTACTACTACTACTACTACTACTACTACTACTACTACTACTACTACTACTACTACTACTACTACTACTACTACTACTACTACTACTACCACTACTACTACTACTACTACTACTTCTACTACTACTACTACTACTACTACTACTACTACTACGGTTACATCGTTAACTCGAACCATCTGGTGTGAACCTTTGAAAAGTATTGCATACAATTTAAAACTATTTTTATAAAATATTTTAGCTAAAACTATCATAGTTTGTTTACTAGTGACATTGTTGTCAAGGTCCTATTTAGGCGTCATCACTGATTGAGTATTGGTTTTCTACAGGATTAAAATAGTGATCATTGTCTGGGATTGAATGGTCGTCGCATTGTGTAAGTGATTCACTGAATTTGAAAATGTGTATCACTGGATTCTAACTCAATGATATAAATATGACCTACTCTCCATGAGGTCTTAATGTATTGGGTCCATTCTCATGAGATGGTGATTTATGTACATTTCCAAATAAAAAGCACACAGACTTGTACTGAAATGAAATACTCGATTACTTGTTTGAGTTCTATATTGCTCTATTTGATATCATCAGTACACGACGAATATTACCCTATGAATCAAATCATTCTTTACACAATACCTTTTTAATAACAAAAAAAATACACTAATTATTGAGAATCATTAAAATTCATTTTACAGATGGTGTCCCGAATACGATTCTTGTAACTGATTAAAAATCAATTATAATATCTAATTAACGATTAATAGTAGTTTAGGTATTAGTTGATAAGGCATCATATAGTTGGTTATTTATTGTTCATATCCATTATTATTATTATTATTATTATTATTATTATTATTATTATTATTATTATTATTATTATTATTATTGTCATATATCATATGTTATTAAGTGAACTGTAATGATAAGTAAATTAAGTCTAATGTCTTAAAATATGAATAAAAATACACACAAATGTATTGAAACACAATCTCTCTCTGTCTCTCACTTTCTATCTCCTTCGATTGATATTACACGTTGAGACAAGAATTCTGGTAGTCTCTGTAACCAAGTTACACGTTTCAAGCATTACCATTTAAAGTAATCTAGAGCTTAGTAACAAAACAACACAACAACAAAAAAAAAACACTTTTTCTAAAGGATGTGCTCTTATTATAATATACAGTGGTGAATCATTGACTTAATTATTGTACAACATTAAATACATAAACGACAACCTTAAGTGAGACTTAATATTAATTGTATAGAACATAGACAGACACTACTAAACATGATGTGAATCTTTAAACAAAAGAATTGTTCAAACTAGTGACAAATGGATCATATAAATGATTGTCGTCTTGAAAATTATTTATTTGATTTTGTTGATAGAAATGATGCATTCAGAGAGACGATTTGTGGTATTTGTAATTTTTTACTTGGATTTTAGTCATGGAGTTAGTCATCATGGAAAATATGTATAAGCTGGTCTGCCATTTCTTATTGTGGAATCCGATGCAGGCGAGCCTCTTTCATGCATACTCGTGTTTTGTTATTCTGGGGTAGTGCGCAGCTACGTCGCTTGATGTGTGATCGGTGCCGGCTGACACTATGGGGGTTGGAGTTAGGATTGATTGCATGGTTGCGGGAATCGGAATAATGGGGATGATGGGTGGGTATGGGATCTTATGATGATGATGATGATGATGATGGATGATGATGATGATGATGATGATGATGATGATGATGATGATGATGATGATGATGATGATGATGATGATGATGATGATGATGATGATGATGATGATGATGATGATGATGATGATGATGATGATGATGATGATGATGATGATGATGATGATGATGATGATGATGATGATGATGATGATGATGATGATGATGATGATGATGATGATGATGATGATGATGATGATGATGATGATGATGATGATGATGATGATGATGATGATGATGATGATGATGATGATGATGATGATGATGATGATGATGATGATGATGATGATGATGATGATGATGATGATGATGATGATGATGATGATGATGATGATGATGATGATGATGATGATGATGATGATGATGATGATGATGATGATGATGATGATGATGATGATGATGATGATGATGATGATGATGATGATGATGATGATGATGATGATGATGATGTGGATGATGATGATGATGATGATGATGATGATGATGATGATGATGATGATGATGATGATGATGATGATGATGATGATGATGATGATGATGATGATGATGATGATGATGATGATGATGATGATGATGATGATGATGATGATGATGATGATGATGATGATGATGATGATGATGATGATGATGATGATGATGATGATGATGATGATGATGATGATGATGATGATGATGATGATGATGATGATGATGATGATGATGATGATGATGATGATGATGATGATGATGATGATGATGATGATGATGATGATGATGATGATGATGATGATGATGATGATGATGATGATGATGATGATGATGATGATGATGATGATGATGATGATGATGATGATGATGATGATGATGATGATGATGATGATGATGATGATGATGATGATGATGATGATGATGATGATGATGATGATGATGATGATGATGATGATGATGATGATGATGATGATGATGATGATGATGATGATGATGATGATGATGATGATGATGATGATGATGATGATGATGATGATGATGATGATGATGATGATGATGATGATGATGATGATGATGATGATGATGATGATGATGATGATGATGATGATGATGATGATGATGATGATGATGATGATGATGATGATGATGATGATGATGATGATGATGATGATGATGATGATGATGATGATGATGATGATGATGATGATGATGATGATGATGATGATGATGATGATGATGATGATGATGATGATGATGATGATGATGATGATGATGATGATGATGATGATGATGATGATGATGATGATGATGATGATGATGATGATGATGATGATGATGATGATGATGATGATGATGATGATGATGATGATGATGATGATGATGATGATGATGATGATGATGATGATGATGATGATGATGATGATGATGATGATGATGATGATGATGATGATGATGATGATGATGATGATGATGATGATGATGATGATGATGATGATGATGATGATGATGATGATGATGATGATGATGATGATGATGATGATGATGATGATGATGATGATGATGATGATGATGATGATGATGATGATGATGTGATGATGATGATGATGATGATGATGATGATGATGATGATGATGATGATGATGATGATGATGATGATGATGATGATGATGATGATGATGATGATGATGATGATGATGATGATGATGATGATGATGATGATGATGATGATGATGATGATGATGATGATGATGATGATGATGATGATGATGATGATGATGATGATGATGATGATGATGATGATGATGATGATGATGATGATGATGATGATGATGATGATGATGATGATGATGATGATGATGATGATGATGATGATGATGATGATGATGATGATGATGATGATGATGATGATGATGATGATGATGATGATGATGATGATGATGATGATGATGATGATGATGATGATGATGATGATGATGATGATGATGATGATGATGATGATGATGATGATGATGATGATGATGATGATGATGATCATCATCATCATCATCATCATCATCATCATCATCATCATCATCATCATCATCATCATCATCATCATCATCATCATCATCATCATCATCATCATCATCATCATCATCATCATCATCATCATCATCATCATCATCATCATCATCATCATCATCATCATCATCATCATCATCATCATCATCATCATCATCATCATCATCATCATCATCATCATCATCATCATCATCATCATCATCATCATCATCATCATCATCATCATCATCATCATCATCATCATCATCATCATCATCATCATCATCATCATCATCATCATCATCATCATCATCATCATCATCATCATCATCATCATCATCATCATCATCATCATCATCATCATCATCATCATCATCATCATCATCATCATCATCATCATCATCATCATCATCATCATCATCATCATCATCATCATCATCATCATCATCATCATCATCATCATCATCATCATCATCATCATCATCATCATCATCATCATCATCATCATCATCATCATCATCATCATCATCATCATCATCATCATCATCATCATCATCATCATCATCATCATCATCATCATCATCATCATCATCATCATCATCATCATTTAGAAGTAACAAATTTCAACCCTGACAACAGTTTGAAGGAATGAATGAACACTTTAAATTTTAGGTACATTCTATTCGTTATTGGCAATGGATTATTTCCACAAATTGAGAATTTCCATACCTGAAATGTTCATTTTTCGTCAGATAACCTACTCTTATAAACCAGCGTTTTCATGTATGAGCTTCAACAATTTCATATACGTACCTAAACTGACACATACACACACAGATTACAATAGAGTTGTCAATAATTGTGCAGAAGTTGTATCCCATCTCTCTGATAAATTGACATAATTCATGCTGTCGATTATATGAGTAAATGTATGTTCAATTTTTTAACTGATACATATCAATATCTCAATCAAAAAAAAATGTTGACACATCGAGTAGATACAGTCAGCTTGATATAGTGTTTGCAGTCATATAGTCATTGACCAACTCTGTCTTAACGTCTAAGTAATCGGTATATAAAGCCTCAAACAGCATCTACTCAATGTGTACTGCACTCAACAGACGCCCAATCACAATTATTATATTGACCTTTGGATTTACTGATTGTTAAGACCTTTTCCCTATCGAATATATCCATATTTTATAAAACGATCAAAACTACATTAAACGGTCAACAACCGTAGAATAATACGACTCATTCATAATCCATCAGTCAAAACATTAGAAAACTATCGAAGTATCATGTATTGTCCTACATTACCTTGACTTTAAAACTTTTAAAAGTCTAGTTTGGGAACGAGTCGATGAGAACTGAGGGAATTGTTTACGAGTTTTAACTCAAAATGTAATCATAGATGTCTTTTATCTTCCATCACAAAAAATCCACCACACAAATATCTTTGTATAATGCTTAAAACGTTTTAAATTCCA